CGGAGAATGGGGGTAGGGTCCCCCCTCGGGGAAGTAATTCTAATTAGGTGGGTTTGAGTAATTTTGGGGTGCTGATTACGAAAATCTATGTTATACGGGGAAGTTGGGGGGCCTTCAGCCTCTATTTCATACCAAAGTCTCGTTTTCAATCAAAATAGAGCAAGTTGCTTTTTAAGGATCAACCCTTCGGTGAAGTATCTAAAATTCATTGGATCTAGATAATTTTAGAATGCTGATTCCAAAATTCGATATTTTAAGTACGTATAAGGAGGCCTTTGGCCTCAATTCCTTGTTTAAATCTCGTTTTCACGCAAAAGGAGAGAAGCGGCTTGATAAGATTCCTCCCAATAAAGAAAGTTTTCCAAATTTAGCGCAATAGGGTAATTACGGTGTACTGATTCTAAAAATAATGTTTTAAGGTCTTTTGGGGGTCTTTTTGGCTCCAATTCATAACAAAGTCTCGTATTCAAAAAACACTTTTGAGCATTAGCCGCTATAAAATTCAACTACACTATAAATCATCCATCAATCTATCAAACCAGTTTCCTCCAATCTATGTATAGAAAATGTATATTTTGTGAATTTATTATGATGACGCATTGTACAAATCAATGATATCTTCATTAAAATCGTTTTCTCTACCATTGCCGTCAATTAGACTTGCCCTGTCGTTATCATCGGTAGACACAATTTCGTTATTCAGCAGCTCTGCGACATCAGCTGGGTAGCATACATCACTCCAAACAACTGATCAGCTTTCATCCCATCCATTCTGAGCTTTAAATTCAAGGTGGCAGCAAGCTTAAATCGGTTACTTTCTTTTCATTCGTAAACTCTGCAAAAACATTTCTTCCTCACGTCGTTTACCATTTGCATCCTTTCGTTTCCATAAAATACGTATATAAACTTTTCCAATCCCTTCTCAACTTTTTCGGGTACTTGAAGCGTGGTCCCCAGATTCGTAAATATATTTAGGTAATCTATCTTTTTGCCATTTGTCTCTAAAAAGCTATTTTCCCTTTTAAAAAAAATAGAAACATAGTCTTTTCCTGAAAAAGCAAGAAGACCGATTAGTGCTCTCCTCGTTTCTTAATGTCACAATGTTGAAGACGCTATAATTACAATTTTCCTATTTAGACCTGTTCCGTTATCAATCAATACTTGAATTCCCGCAAAATCAAGGTCAACAAAGAGGGATAGGACATTGATATCCCCGGAAGGAAGGTGATCTGACAGAATCCCCATTCCTTAGGTTTGCTGCTTTCACTAAAGCAATCAGCTTTGTATATGCTTCTTCGTGATTGCTCTTCATTCTTTCATCTATGACAACTTCATCTTCCGTCACTTTAGTGCAATTGTTTTCGTTGGAAAAGAGGACGGTCTTTCCTTGTAACTAACTTTTGGCTTCTTTTATCGCTCTTTGAATTAATGTGCATGGTTCTGTTTTCTCCATTCTGTAGAAAATTAATAAAATTGCGAGGAACTATCATGTCTGGACTGCAACGTTATGCAATGGCTCAATCTGGCCAAAACTGTGATTGGCTGCTTTTGACCGGTAAGAATGTGAAGCATGCTTTGGAGTCAAGAACTTTCCCTTTGATACCGTATGCACAACATCTTGGTTAAGTGAACCAGCAAAACGATTAACTCTTTCACTAGAATTGTGATGGCTTTCTTTTAATGATAGTAATGCTTTAAAAAACACTTCCAACAATTTGGGACTTGTTGATGCTTCTCTAGATCCAAAGCTTTCAACAGTTGGAGGCCAAGAAAGAGACAATGTATCATCGATGAATATAAATATAAGTTCTCTCAAGATAAAAGCAGCTCTTTTTACCATGAACTCTTGAAGGAAGCCGGATTTTTTGGATAGTATTGGAGCATGAAGACATACCTTACTTATAACAACTTGCGGTATTTGGAGCTGCACCTGGACAAAAACTTATTATCTCCATATAGCTTCGAAAGCTCTTTTAGCTTATATCGGGTCTCTTTGCTTTCCAATTGTTTCATTGTACTCTACAATGATGGTCTCCATTGACAAGCACTGCTGACCTTCAAGAATATCATTTTCAATCAACGACGGTACTGCATCAAAGTTACCAAATGTTTCATCGTCGTCGTCAGTAGATGTTACTGTAGAGGCTT